TAAACTCTACGGAAGAATGGATGCGAAACGATTTCTTCCACCTCAGAACTGAGCGCAGCTGACAATTCAACCTCAGCATCAACTCGGGCTTGCGCCACTTAGCGACGAGCGCATCAACAAAATAGCTGCTCCCTTGACCTCCGGTGACATCAATCAGAGTGGCTTCCCGGAGGCAACCAAAAACAACCACCTTCTGCTCACGAAAATGTGCAAAATCGCAAAGATAGCTCTGCACACAAGTCCAACGTGCAAAAACACAGTAAATTCACACGCTGCTTGCGATAATGTGCAAAAAAACATAACAAGAGCGCTGCACGCAAATCGAATGTGTAACAAAACTCGGTGAAATCGCACGCTGCCAGCGAGAATATGCAAAAATCAGGCAAAGCATAGTGAGACTCTATAGCTTATCGACTGCAGGTAGGGCGTGAGACCATGCGAAGACGTCGTTGCCCCGTTGCCCCGACGTGGCGCCAAACCTTCAGTCAACGGCCGCCCTTCAGCTTGAAGGAGGGCAACTTCTCCAGTCTTCGGACCTGTGAAGCACACTCCCATGTGCAGTTGACGAAAGACATGCTGAACAGAGAGGGCTTGAGCTTGGATCTTCTTCCACTGGCAGGCGCCACGCACGTGAATTCCAGCATCTTTCGTGCCGTAGCAGACAGTAATCGCTCCCCCCCAAAAAATAAAACAAATCATAATATCAAATCAAATGGTGTTCCTAAAGTTTAAACCCTGAACCCTACTTGAACTTCTCTGGTTTTCTGCTTTAATCACTCGCTGCGGTTGTCGTCTTGGAGTGAATCCTGGCAGAGGCGGCCTAGGTCTTTCGTTATCTCCACCGATCGTTCGCTCTCTCTCTCTCTCTCTCTATTGCGATCTTCGTTGCCAGGGGCCCGGCATGTTTAAAACACCCAAGGTTCTGGGTGCAAAAGTAGGGTGCGGGGGTTGGTGCGTCTAGCGGTGCGTGATCTCAGTGGCTTATTCTAGGGCAAAAGTAAGGTGCGGGGGTTGGTGCGTCTAGCGGTGCGTGATTTCAGTGGCTTATTCTAGGGCAAAGGTAAGGTGCGGGGGTTGGTGCGTCTAGCGTTTTGTATGATTTCAGTAGCTTGTTCTAGGGTTTAAGGCAAGGTGCGAGGGCTGGTGCGTTGAGCGGTGAGTGATCATGTTATTACAGGATGCACAGGGTGGTGCGGAAATTGGTGCATGAGAGACAAAACTGGTACGAGCTGTTTGGTCATAGCTGCAAACAAAACTGGCGCGAGCT